TAGAAATATTTCTCACTTTTCAAGTTTTCCCATGTTAGCAGTACACATAAACAAATGATTCTTCTTCAAAAACATGAATAGCTTTTGCAAGAAGGAACTACAATTTGTTAATTGCTAAACATATGCATGAGCAGGTAGAACTTGCCAAAATAGAGTTGTTTGCATACATACCACATTCTCTAAGGTCATAATTTTCGGGGAAATTATATATGTGGTTTGGAATGCCATCTGGCAATACTGTATCACTTTGTTTTCTTATCCTGTGACTGTTCCATAGAAGAACAAAACTGTTGATTTCTTTCTGAATCAAAGGTATCATTATGTAAGCCAATAGACACCTACAAAATTGTTTATAGATATTGGTGTTGCATGAACATACAGAATGTTTAAATGCAAAAATAATAATATATATATATATATATATATTATACAATGGTTGTTACAGTATCTACCTATGTGTTTCACTTTGAGGATCATAATGTCCTTGATCTTTAAGCCATAACAGTGGTTGTTTATAATATTTCTCTAGCCTTTCATGTAATTCTTTCCACCACCGTTCTATCTGTAATGCATCAAAGCAGAATGATTGAATGTTATATGTTAATATATTACAGAATTATTGAATGTTTGCCACTGCATGAGTACTGGTATGTGGTGTTTCATTTCAGTGAATAAATAGCCCAAATTTTCTTCCCTATTCAAATTTTGTTACCACAATATCCAAACATGTGATATGCAAAAAATATCAATTAATAATCAATAAATATCAATTAATATTATATGTGGTCTCCCAAATCCCTCTCAGAATAAATAAATTGGAACACTCTTGGATACATTTTTGGTTTGAATATTGTAAGTAATGCTTACAATACCTCTACACAACCTGAACCTGGGACCGTTGCATTGGCTGGCCCTACCTAGTTGTGTGATTGCACATTTTAAATAAATTGTCTACTTTACATTATTACTACAAATGCACTCTACCTGATTTGATGTAGATGGCCCAAAAAGCGCTGTTTCACCAGCATCCATATCACCGTGTTGTTGGCGTAAGTATGCGTGCATGGTGGCCATAACACCAGTCTCTGTGCCTTTATCCACTCTTAACATGCTTGCAATGGTGCGCTGCTCATACAGGTATTCGAGATAAAAACGACCAATTAGCTTTGGGTCACTATTGCTCCTCCAAACTTTCACCCACAGTACTTTCCGGCTACATGTGTCAAGACAACCATATACTGCAATAGGGTAAGTACTGTTCTGAAAACCCATAAGTTTGTCTTGGCCATCGAGCGAATGTACAAAGTTTGGTCCAGGCGACGTGAAATTTCCCTTCTTCTTTTTCGTTTTAAAGCCTGGAGCTCTGCATTCTAATCCTTCGGGGTCTAATTCAAACATAACATCATGCACCAAATCCCTTGGTACAGCAAGATCATGGAGCTGTCTAAGCTTTTGATGCATGGCTCGGTAACCAAGCAGATTACCAGGACCTTGTAATTCCTCCTGAACTGCATCTCGAACTTGATCAACTGAAATATTCCTATTGATACAACGTATTTCAAAGTGCTGTAATCGCCGATCAAAGTCCTTGGACTCCATGCGTACTGGCTGAAGTCTCTTTGCATAAAGTCGAGAATTTCTGTACGGTTTAAACCGCTCTTTATATAATGTTGTAAAGCCTCCTTCAGCTGCAAATCATCTTGCCAACTATTATTTCTTATACGCGCCATTTTGATTTTCAATTGTGGCTAAGCTTATATGAAGTATGACCAACTGCATACAATTAGACTACCAAGTATTGCGGGCTATGGCGGTTCTCGGCCATCGGTGATTTCATTTTCATTCGATTTTCATTTGATTTTGTTTTGAAATCATTTTTGTTTTATTTTAATTTTGATTTTATTTCTTTTTCTATTTTGTTTACACTTTAATTTTTAAACTATTTTATTTTTGAAAATATACAAATATATAAAAATTCGCTATGGCGGTTCTCGGCCACCATAGACTAGTTATATAAAGAACTACGAATGAAGATTTTTACTGAGAATGGAGTTTTATCAGGTATCAAGCCACTTCGCGTGACGATATTATATTGTTCACATGATTTGCCAAAAAGCATATGTTTTAAATACCGACAATGCGTTTCTCCCTCGCGCGCGACCTAGCTCGTAAATATAAATCCTTAGATATACGCAAAAAAACCCAAAAATAAACGGCTTACAAGACGTTGCAACCCGCATAACTATATGCAGCGTCGGAACTGTCAATTCATTCACAAGCCATTTGTGATCGATCTTGTTGGGTCTGCAAAAATGCGGTACTATAATTGAACTACAGACTATATGTTTATTTATATTGGATCACTCTATCAGTGTTCTCCCATGCAGAGGTCCAGTACGTAAGAGTCGTCGCTTAACTAACGTTTTAGTGTTACAACAGGTGGAGATCTTACTGAACTATATATTGAGCTTGAAATTGCAGTTTATAATGCCGATGTTAATGGCTTATGCTGGATATCATATAGATAGCTAGCTCGATCTTTCAGTGGTAAACTGCTGTTCTCATCGATACGGTGGATTCAGGCGTCATACGACATCAGAAAAAAACAATCTAACTTTATAACAAAACGCTCTGCGGAGCGTTAACTCGCTGGGGCTATACAAATACGCACATTACAATGTACATGATACATACAGTACACAGCTCTTTCAATTGAGATTCAAGGTTTTCCCCGAGCTAAGCGGAAAAGTCGAATACGAGCGCGAAAGGCTGTTTATAAACACAGTACTAAAATGCGGTGCTCTGCAAATCCGGCATTCCGTCTGCAAGTATAAAACTGAGTTATATTTAGATTTTAGTACGCTATATACATTCTTCTGTCGGCCGCCAGTTGGTTAGCCCGCATGCAGGCCCAAGGGAACTGTAGTGGGCCTGCAAGCAAGGCCCGGTATTTTGTAAAACGCCCCTTTTCATAACACGCCCCATTCGCGCGTCAATTGTCAAAAAAGAACCAATGACAGCAGCCAAATATTAACAAACAAACTCACATTAAAGTGTTGCGGGGTTTTCTCTGCTTATTCAGAACATAAACAATGTGTAAATGGCAGCGTTTTAACTCCAAAAAAGCAAGCAACGCAGTCAGTAATTCCCAAATTTGCAAGTGCTCATTTTCAACTAAAATCGGAACAGGCAAATTAGGACGAATTTCAACAGAAAACCAGTCCCAAACTTCAAATCGTGAAGGAAGTCGTGCGACACATTAGCATTTATATTATGTGTACTTCGCTGTCGCCATTGGCATTGTTATAAATAAATTGTCTCACTTATCAGATCGTGTGTGCAATTCTTGTTGGCGGCGGAAAGTACGAAATTTATTTCAGTTATTTCATTTGGCAAAAAACTCTACAAAAGAAGAGAGCGTTCAGAGTCCAGATCGTTTCGTTTCAAACGGCAATTTAATACCGCCTTCTATTTCGCTCTCTCAGCGAAGCCTTGTAAATCGCAAAGTGTTTCGAATAGGCTTACATGCAACTGCATCTCAACATCAACCAAAAGATAATTTTCTTGAGGAACATATAACGTATCAAGTCTGAAATTAATGAAACTCAAGTAAAGGTTACTATAGTTTACCCCAGTCGTAATGTTGCTATTCCAACACCTCACGACAAGCAATCCCCATTGGCATAACGGCAAAAACATCTCTTCCTTCAAGTAAACAATAAACACTCTGTTCTTGTTCCATTTATAATCGAAAAAAGTGATCAATTTTCGAATTTTGAGCTTATCGAGAGCCTTTGTGATGAATCACTGACTTAATTATAGAATCCAACAGCAAACAGCCAATCAGAATGCCGCGTTCGTGGGCGAACGCGGAAAGTACAAAATACCGGGCCTTGCTTGCAGGCCGGCCACTATCAGTTCTTTTGGGCCTGCACGCGGGCTACCAGTTGGTCCGTACGCAGGATTAATAAACTGCGCTTTAAAACGTTCAAAATAAAATATTTTGGGGCTTTTGGGCTCAAAATACTATCAAAATGAAACGAGAAGTGAGACGAATCCACTGGTATACGGCCGAAAAAGAGAAAACCAATGATACCAAAGTTATCAAGTGTCAAACGTAGTGCATTTTTTTGTAATTTATAGTTTAATAATGCTAAATATAAAATTTTATCTCGTTCGACCTCATTTCTCTTTGGAGTGATATTAATTTAGTATCATTTTAATTATAAAGTTCTTGTGATTCCGTGGATATATCTTTCGTTGTGTTTATTGGTAATTTTACGCATATTTTTGGATTTTATTACCGTGGTCATCTGTTGGGTCGTGGTGTCTATAATTTTATACAAGTTGTGAATTTGGTTTGTTGGTCATTCTCTTGTTTTTTACTTACTGCATTTGCCTCAAGTTATCTCTGTGTACTATGTACTTTGTTCCTGCTATCGTATCAAGTCTTGGTGTTTTCATGATATTAAATACAATTTAAATAATTCGCGTTTTTTTAATTTTGACCGTTGGAAAATTTTAAATCATTTGCGTCTTGCGTCGTTCGTCATGGCAACATCGTTATATTCCTATAATCGAGTTTCTTTCGTTTAAAGACGTATTTCAGCATTGGAATCGTGTTTGTCTGTTAACTCTTAACATTTTGATTATCGTGGTGCAGCTGATCGTGTTTTTTTTTACATTTTGGCTATTGATCTTGTAGTTATATACTGTCTGCTATAAACTATTGACCTTTGACTTGGCGAACTTCTCTGGTTTCATTCTGGGGTTTTCCCTTAAAAGTCAATACAATGAATTTAACATCCCGTCGACGTTTGTTCATTTCAATCCCTAATTGGCTGCTACTTATTGCTGTAACGTGTTGGCTATTTTCACGATCTAAACCAGCACTTGATCCTCAGAACTACTCATCTACGCCGCAGAATTCCATTATTTCCCCGGAACTTATATCAATATCTGGCCGATTAAGCTATATTTGGATTTCAACGCGGGATACTATTTTAAGGAAATGTTCATTGTCCAGTTATTATCGTTATGGCCTACAGTTTCAAATTAATAATAATAATCTACACCTTCTCTTATGGATCTTGTTATCAGGAGACGCAACCTCGTTCCCAGGCTCTTTGCTCTTGTGAAGCAAAGACCCTGGTCGGGGCTGGTCACGTGACCCATAGAAAATTGATAACCTAAGAGGGGGAAGAGGGGGACGGAAAAGTATCAAATTACATGTTTCCACTTCGCACCTCACACTTCGATTGCAAGGAGCGACCGTTCTATACAATCCTCTTTGAGAATCATATATACTTCAAAATACTTTCTAAATTGGTTTCTGTTTGCTTTTAAATTATACAAACATGTTAAACTGTAGATTCTTATAGCAACAACCAAGTCAGAAAATCAAGCAACGAAAACGTATGATCGTATATGCTTGGAAATATTTGCCCTTTTATTGTCTCGCGGGGTTAGGGCGCAGTTTCATTTCACGCGTACGTTTCTGTATCTGGCTCTGGTTCAGATACGTATAATATTCTTATAATGTGCCATTGAATTGTTGTCATATGGAAACGGTATAAATTTTGTTAAATAGAGGTCTCAAAAGCGACTGTGTAGGTAGTAGGCGCTACGCCTTGCTGGTCCTACAGCAAACGTTACATATTTGGACACTAGCCAAATAGACATTGAATGTCCATTCTATTGATTCTAAAACGGTTGATAGACATAGTGTTCTAGATTTTTTTAAAAAGGTTATCATCGTTTATATTCAACACAAGGTAGGAAGGATTGTTAACGTACATGTACAAAATTGTTTGGGATCAACAGTAAAGAATTATACGACAATTCACAACTGTATGCATTTCCTTTTTTGTCTGCACGAGCACCTGTTTGTTGAAGCCAAAATCACTAAATCAGATTGCACAGAATCTCCGATATGAATTATATAGCCATTCACCCTCGCCCCTTAAATGCAAAGGAATGATAGCCGAAAAGGTTTAGCAAAGTATTTTTTATTATATCTGGTATAAAGTGTCCCTACGTTTTATCATCAGGGATATATATATATATATATATATATATACATAATTGCTGCCGCAGCGAGCGAGCCTGAAGCGAGCGAGCAAGGCAGCAGATCCTAATTTTGTTTTGTGGATCAAAATCAAAATTTTCTATTTGGCGCATTGCATGACGGTACCAGTGAATTTTAACCGTGGTGCAGCGCGGTCAGGCGTAAGGCAAACAGACGATGTGATCATCTTTCATCTTTGGTCTTCTTTTATGGAAAGCCATAGCTGGCAATTGGGTGCTTTTAGCATTATACGGCGGTGCTTTCGGCATTATACAAGGTGCTTTCGCCATTATACGCGGTGGTTCCAGTATTATACGCGGTGCTTTCACCATTTATATACGCGGTGCTTTTGCAATTATACGCAGTGGTTCGAGCACTAATAATATGCGGTGCTTTTAATATTATACGCGATGCTAGCTTTCATTCAACATTATTTCCATATTCTTTCCATGACATGTATATGATTTAACGATTGCTTAAATTTGGTATGTGGTTGACAAATGCTTTTTGCCTATATATGGTCTGCATGGACAATGACATGCTTTTCTGTGTATATCAATGAATATAACGCAGCGAATGCGCCAAACAGTATAAACGCGGCTGAAATACGATATTAAAATCTTAAATGTGCCGTATGATTTTTTAATTATGTTTTAGAATTTATAAATGCTTTGTCATTTGTATTTATACTTGTACTGCATCACAAGGCAGTACGTAAGTGAAAAAATTCCACATGTGAGATTGTCTTGTATACATTTTTGCTTTCTTTGATAAACACGCAAATTTTAATTAGTGAGACGCAATGTTAAATGTCACCTGCATGTCATTGTCATTGCCCTTTAACCCCTGGTCTAATTGGCCGCTTTTGAAAATGTTGATCATGACGAACCTTGATAGCAAGCGACTGGGGACGAGGCAGATGACGAACCGCACTGCCTTAATTATGCAAACTTTGTGTTTTAAAAACAGGTTAGGATAAAACGCGGATACGGACGGACGGATGAATGACGGACGGGCGGATGGCGACGGACGGATGACATATATATGTCATTATATAGTCTGCGCGCAGCCGCGCAGGGTAGTTAGTGGCTTACGTCTTCGCTGGTTGTTATACTTTAAAATAATTTTGTATATACCGATAAATCAATATTCCGACTATATAAATATACACTGATAGCTTGTTTACATTTCCTGGAGCATCATGAAATCTTATGTTTAACCACGGTGGTTTAACCCATTAGCTGGCAATGCGCCCTTCCCTTGTCCAGCGCCAGAAGATTTTACTCGTCAGTGGTATAGGGTACTGCCAGTAAATGGGTTAACAAACTGCCAGTAAATGGCTCTTGTTAATTCATCAACACAGTAATGGCCCCTACTTTAGTATTTACCCTGTCCAACACCAGACGATTTTTAATACTCAGTCAGTGGTAGGGTACTGTCAATAAATGGGTTAACAAGGATAACAATAATAGGATGTTTCTGAAGGACTCGTTCAACACCCTGTAGTTTGTCTTTTGCTGTCAAAGGCAGCATTACTGCCCTGTGGGTAACCTAGTTCATAAACTGTATATAAGCGCACGAAGTCCAGCTCATAGAATTACTTAATTAATAGGTTGTTTGCCTCTAGTATGGTTTGGTGAAACTGCTAAAATGTCATTTATAGAGTATACGATAAAGATTATTTAAAGTTGATTTAAATATTGATGACGCACAGCAGCATTATACAAGTCGAAAGAAGCTGTCGGGTTATTCTTCAAATATAAAGCACTGAATGGGCAATGGGAATGAAAATTACTGTAATACACAAAATATGAAATAATTTACTATGAAGTACAATACCAGTGTCTGGTGTAATCTGGTGCATATATCGTCCTAAATATTCAAGTTATATGTACCGCACGCACGGAAACGCACAGTGGTCTTGGTGTTCGTCTGATGACAGATAGCTATACTTCGAGTCTTCGACATAATCATTCTTGATCGTTGAGTTTCAGCAATGTAAATGAAAGGAATTTTACAGTCCATAACGGTTTTAATCCTGTGCTTTCACAGTCAAGATAGCACTATTGTTTACACACACAGTTAGCGATGTTTGGGAAATCTTCCATTGTAAAATAAATCCTTTGTCTTTGTTGAATATCGGACAGGATACACTTCAACAATAAACAACCATATCGTTCATTTAGTATCGTTTGATCGTCAGTCGGTATAGAATTGGGAAGACTTATATGTTTCTACGGCGATGCGTGCTCAATTTCGCAAGCCAGGCGCGTGTGGAGTCCTTGGAAGTGAAATATGATCCAGCTTGTCGCTTGAAATGTACCGCAACACTTATTATTGATGACAAAAATTGTTTTTTGATATTTGGTAGAGGACAAAAAGTTAGTTAATAGGTTCTTTAACATTTTTCGGTTTTCTCTTTTCATTCGCGAGATATGAGGCTCTAAACCTTGAAAAATTGGCTTTTAGCGAAAAATTGTCGCGCCCGAGAAAAAAACGGAAAAGGGTCTGGGGCGAGAGCCGTGTGACGTAGCTTAAGGGACGGAAGTTCGAATTCACATGTGAAGGAGTACTAAAAACCTATTGGGAAGACATATGTTTTCCAGCACTCATGGTTCTCAATGTGACTCAGAATACAATTATATTCCTTGGTATATTATACAGGATGAATCAAATGATACTAGTCACGAAATTGGGACTCTAGAAGCAGTTGATAGCGAAATTTTAGGCGATTGTGATGCATATTGTCTTTATGCCGATGAGCCGCTAGCGAGCCAAGAATGCTACGCGCGATAAAAGCTACGCGCGATATTTAAAACTATGCGGAACACAAGGAACAAAACGAGATGCTAGAACGAAGATTAAACGGCCTTGAAGATATTAAATCATGGTGAGCGTAAACATAGATTTATTTAACATTTTAACGGCGTAAAACAAGTATCTCTGGCTGATATGTTTTTGATACGGCATCAGTCACATCAAACCCTCACCTGTATCATATTTCACAAGTGTAAATGCGGCGATTGTGCGATAATACATATACAATATACACACGAAGCTTGGTGCTGTCAGGAGATGGAATCTTGTAGGGATGTTCTGAAGGATAACTTCGTTTTAGAAGATGTGCCACAGCCGCCGTGCTGTACCACTCTACACTCGGGATTCAGACCTATTTGTTTGGAAAAATGGGCTTTAAGAATTGAACTTGCGAGAAAATACAATCGTTCGTATTAAATAAACGTGATCACAGATAAACACTGTAGCTTCAAACAAGAATATACACGTAATTTGCTCAGAACCAGTCTGTTTATATTTTCTTTGATCTCGTGTCTTGTATTTTCTTGCGAAGGTGATGGAAGTGTGGTTTTAACTCTTTGTTGTGACTGATGCCATATGAGCCCGTATCCCGCAAAATATAATATTAGCCAGAGATACTTATTTTACGTTAAAATGTTAAAATAAATCTATGTTTACACTCACCATAATTTAACATCTTCAAGGCCATCTAACCTTCGCTGTAGCATCTCTTTTTGCTGCTTGTGTTCTGCTGAATTTCTGAAATATCGTGCGTACCATTCTTCGCCGGCTAGCGGTTCGTCGGCATAAAGGCATGCATCATAATCGCCTAAAATTTCGCTATCAACTGCTTCTATAGTTCCAATTTCGTGATTAGTATCATTTGATTCATCCTCTATAATATGTCCAGGAATATAATTGTATTCTGAGTCACATTGAGAACTATGAGTGCTTTCCGAATCCGAGCTACTGCCTCACATGCTGGAAAATATATCGTATCTCGCGAATGAAAAGAGAAAACCGAAAAATGTTAAAGAACCTATTAACTAACTTTTTGTCCTCTACCAAATATCAAAAAAAATTTTTGTGACATAAGCACTTTAAAACTATTCCTTTCACGATTTCTTGTTGCAAATTACATTTTTATCACCCGAAACTATAACACATAAAATTTCAATTTTCCAAACGTAGTAAACAGACTCCTCTACCACCCCTCCCTGAGATCAATTCAATTTACCACGCAGAATCTGCGGGGTCACGTGACCAGCCCCGACCAGGGTCTTTGCTTCACAAGAGCAAAGAGCCTGGGAACGAGGTTGCAGGAGACGTTGCTTTAAATCCTGGTCCTTGTTCTACTCCATCCTATCCTAGACCTCCTAATGTTGCTATGCCCCATAACATAGAATGTTTATACCTTAACGCAAGGAGTTTAACTAACAAAACGAGTGAACTTCAAACACTGGTGACGGATATTGATCTGATTGCTATTACAGAAACTTGGCTTAAACCTGAGATTGCAAACTGTGAACTTTTGCCTGAAAAGGATTTCATCATCCATCGTAGAGACAGGCTTGATAGAACTGGCGGAGGAACTCTGTTAGCAGTCAAGAATACTATCCTAAGTGTGCGAAGGGAAGACCTCGAAAGTAATACGGAAATGCTGGTTTGTGAGATCCGTCCAGAGAGTAAAAAAAAGCTTCTGGTAATTGTATTTTACAGACCACCTGACACTGACTTGAACTACGTCAAAGAATTCAAAAAATCACTTCAGATTATCCAAAATAACAACAAATTTGACCAGCTTATCATCTGTGGGGACTTTAACCTTCCACATATTGATTGGACCACCGGATCACCTACAACCAATGATACTATTCACAATTACTTTACAAAAACTGTCAAAGACAACTACCTGTGGCAACTAGTAGACTTCCCCACAAGAGCTAAAAATACACTGGATCTTGTCCTCACCAATATTCCTGATAAAGTTGATAACGTACAAGTGTTTGACGACATTCTTAAAACGGATCACAAACTTATCAGTTTTACCGTCATCTTGAATATTCAGAAGAAACCCAAAACCAAGCGCACCGTGTATAATTTTGAGAAGGCTAACTGGACAGGTCTTAAAGAACAGCTCACACATGCGTATTGGGACCAATGTTTTGTCCCAGACAACATCGACGTCTCGCTTTCCAACTGGTGTGACTTATTTATGATCACATCCCGAGATATACTGTGAGCAATACATTCAATCACCCATGGATTGACAAGGAACTATTACAACTAATTAGAAAGAAAAACATTCAAAGAAAAAAATTGAAAAAATCCCAGTCTTCAGTTGATGTTGAAAAATACAGATTGATACGACGTAAGACAAAACAGCTTTTATCAAGGAAAAGAAAAGATTACAACAACAAACTTACGGAGTCCTTGTTCGAGAACCCCAAACGCTTCTGGTCTGCGGTAAAATTGTCAACGAAAACGAGACAAAATGCTCACTTCCTTCGGACTGACGTTTCCTTTACAACAGACAGGCATTGCATGGCTAATATGTTCAACAAGTTTTTCCACTCCGTCTTCAACCCTCGGGACACAGATCCTCCTCCCACGCCGACTAATATACCCACATTTTCATCTTCTCAACTGTCCGACATTGAACTGACAGAGTTTCAAGTTTCTGAAGTACTTCTCCACTTAGACCCAACAAAGGCGTGCGGACCTGATGACATTCCAAGCAAACTATTGATCGAACTTGCTTATGAGATTGCCCCTTCATTGACCAAGCTGTTCAACATGTCTCTTTCGCTAGGGTTAGTACCCACCCAATGGAAGCGCGCCAATATCACCCCCGTCTTTAAAAAAGAAGATCCAACACTGTCATCCAACTACCGACCAATTTCTCTTCTCTGCGTGCTGTCCAAGGTCCTGGAACGTTGTGTTCATTTTCATTCCTATCACCATCTAGCACCTCTCATCTATGAGATGCAACACGGTTTCGTTAGGGGCAAATCTACAACAACACAACTGTTGGAGGTATATCATGACATCTTGGAATCTGTGGCTAGTGGCAAGGAAGTTGATGCCATTTACCTAGATTTATCGAAAGCATTTGATAAAGTACCACACAGTCTGCTCTTGCATAAACTCGAGAATTATGGGATTGGAGGTTCTCTCCTCTCATGGTTCCAAAGTTACTTAACAAATAGACAACAACGAGTCGTTCTTCATGGCGTCTGTTCCGACTGGCTTCCGGTTACGTCTGGTGTGCCACAAGGCTCTATACTTGGTCCGTTACTATTTCTGGTGTTTTGCAATGACGCTCCAGATTACATTCAGGCTAATTCAACGCTCGCACTCTTTGCCGACGATTCCAAACTATACAGAACTCTTGAACATCCAACCTCTAGCAGCTTACTTCAAGTCGACCTTAACAACGTTCAGAGATGGAGTATTGACATGAAAATGGAGTTCAACCCCAACAAATGCAAGGCAATGCATATCTCGAGGAAGAAGAAATTGGAAAACAAAACGCTGTACAATCTCAATGGTCATCCGATCGAGAAAGTTATGCACATCAGGGATCTCGGTGTCACCGTATCCAGTGATCTATCGTGGTCTAGGCATATCGAGGTCACTGCATCGAAAGCAAATAAGACCCTTGGCCTCATTAAAAGGATATGTAGGAACATGCGTGACTACGCTACAAGAAGACTCCTGTATTGCACCCTGGTTAGGCTCCAGCTGGAATATGCCAGTAATGTCTGGTCGCCATATACCATCAAACACAAATCATTGATTGAAAATATTCAGCGGCGAGCGACGAAGTTTGTACTGAACTACCCGAACGAAATGTCCTATACAGAGAGGCTAATTAAAACAAACCTCCTGCCATTAGAATTCCGCCGAGAGATCTCCGACCTGTTGCTAGTTTTCAAATCAAAAACCGGACTAATATCTATGGATGTCGATAACTATTTATGCACCTTCGAACCAGGCTATAAATCACGACGCAATTACGACGAAAACAATTTCAACTTCCTGATTAATCACAAACAGGACTACTTTAGGAACTCTTTTTTTATAAGATCAGCCAACCTGTGGAACAGTCTTTCATCAGAACTGAAATCTCTAGTAACTAACTCTGGTATATCCATTTTTAGACCCAGGCTACGCGACATCTATAATGCTAAATTACCATCATATAGTCCTCCTGGCTGCATCTAAGTAAATTTAATGTTATATAATACAGTTGTTTGTTTAAAGTGCCTATAAACCCAAAATGGGTTTTGCATGATTCGGATAGAGCGTAAAAAGTTACAATAGAAGTTCTAGATTAGATTTTGGTTTAGACTTCTAGTTTCTGAGATATAACGGCTCAAAGTGCCAATTTTGAAAAAAAAATAGCGCACAGAGGAGACTGGGTCGGAGGAACACCGAACACGTTGTATTAATTTCACAATAGGAAATTGTATTACAATTTGGGTAGGCAAGTGAAATAAACGACTATATTTTTGTGAAGAACCTGAAATGTCGAGCTCAAATTCACACTCGAGTATCTTTAGCAATTCGTCTGTTAGTAGTCCGTGTGAAATTGAAGTTGAGCGCGTTGAAACCGAATATTTTGAAGGAAAAGGCTTCTTGGATGAACTGATTGCTGAATCAGAAGCTTGGCTAGGAGAATACGAAAGTGAGAGGAAGACAATGAAAGGATGAGAGATTTAGAGGTGCGTTTTAAAGGGAATAAATCTGCAACGTCATTGTAATATTCAACACCTAAACTTGGTCAATATTAATGCTTGGCGATTTTGTTTATAGTTAATATATGTTGACATGTTTGGCTCCGGATATTTACATATTGTATAAATTAGTTTACTGTCATTTAGGTGCAGGTGTGGAAACCAACACTGAAATGCTAAAGAATGCTATTGTTGCAGAAAAATCGAAAAATGTGTCGAATTTGTTGATGATTTGGGCTATCCTGGGTCAGTTGACAAAGAAGTAATTTGTGTATAAACAGATCACCCTGGTTTTTCAGCAGTGTGCCTAAACAGATGGTCGTTGGATCTTGCGGCCGAAACGTTTATAACTCGTGATGGTCATCGTTATAGTCAACTTGGTCCAAAGGAAAGGTACAATAAATTTTAGAGCATTTGCATAAGTCAAATCCAGGCATTACCCCCCCCCCCGGGCAACGCCTGGGCTTTTGACGAATTTTTAAAATAAGAAAATCTGGGAAAATTTTGCCACAACTGTTCTTGAAATTGACATGTTCTATTTCACAATCTATTAATTGAAACCATGTGTGATTATGCTTCGTACGATTATTGAATACCATCTAGCATTTTTACAAGGCATCACGTTCAACTACTTGTTTGACAAATATACTGACATTAAGGCAAAAATATGGAGTTTGTCACATGAGTGAAATTGAGGCTGCAATCTCCAATCGTGACCGGGTGTTTCCCAAAATGCCCAAGCACTTTGGGGTATTGCTACCATAACTTTTATGTTACCACTTACCAGTACTACAAACAATAATTAGGGACATTATTTGGGACACTGTTTATCACAAAATATTGACATCATACATTTTGATAAACTGATGTGATTGTGTTGTTTTAGATTATTAGTAATCTTTAGAAAATATAATATTAATTTTAAATGCCTCACCCCCGGGCAAAGGTTTGCATGCAAATGACCCTCCGCTGGCACATGCCACAGAGGCAAATGCCCCGGGGTGGAGGATGGACATGCTTGGATTTGACTGATGCATTGTGCAGCTGCTTGTGTGGTAGAACAAAGTTGTTGTTTTCAAATTAACTCATTAACTTGCAATGCAACCTACTTTATTATTTAGTCTGCAGATGATTTTACTCATCAGTGGTAAGGTACTGCCAGTACTGGCAATGCGCTCAGATGTGCCCTACTTTACTATTTACTCTGTCCAACACCAGACGATTTTACCCACTGCCAGTAAATGGGTTACGTGCATTGCTGCCCACCAGATTTCTACTCGTATAGTGTATAAAATTGAACCAAGAAATATTCTTTTTATTATATTGTAGATTTCTTCGAGTTGTTGCATATAGGCAGTTTACCCACATGATTCACGGCAAATTAAAGGACCGACGTATACCACTGCATATACTGCAATACATTTGACACATAACAACAAGAATGGTGATGAATTTGAAGGTGATGATGACTTGGAAACAGACAATGAAAGCTTATAAGTTTATTTGAATGTTAAATATTTATGTAAAATATTGTTAGGCCTTGTTGTTCCGTGGATAATTAGTCACAATTTTGTGGCCTTTCATTGGCTGCTTGCATACACTTCACTTTGGTGGATTTCTTGGTTTGGATGCTTTTTTCTTGCTACTGACTGTAACAGCAGGGACTGAAATTATAAAATATTGTCAACATTAACTATAATTACAGTACTGGCTAGTTCTATTGTCTAATGTATGTACAATCAATTTGAAACAATGCCCCCCCCCGGCATACCCCGGGCATTCGACTTTAAGGTGGCTCCTTGGAGTAGGGAATTTGACATTCTGAATCTTTGTGGTGGGGAATTTAAATCTAAATCACAATTTGCACGTTTTTGTCAGTCAGCTCTATCTGGAGCAAGAACTTCAGTCATTCGGTCTGAAAAGTTAACTTAAGACAAGATGGCGGAAATTGAAATCTAACATCTATGAATGTCGTATACATTAAAAACAGTGTTCTGTATTCATTTGACAGTTTCATAAATATTTCCTTGGCACAGGGAATTTTCCCATTAATTTTTTTGTTTTAGTTTGGTATTTGAACACACTTTTTGCCAGGGGGGTGGGGAATTTGAACAATCAAATTTTCAAAAGTTCAAATCCCCCCAGTGTATAAAAAATGAGACCACACCAACAACCGTACCATTTCTCCTTGTTCTGTAGATGTGCAAGGTTCAACATAGATCTGGCTCATCAGCAGTTGATGTTGTCAGTGCTTTTTCAGGGTTTTCGACAAGTTCCTGTTGGGTCCTGTTGTCGTATAGAGTTGAAACCACAAGATTAGTCTTATAATAAACAGAGTGACTATTTGACCCGCAGCCGGTCATGTTTCAAAATGTCTAAATGACTGGCATTATAAATTGTGTTGTTCACAATGATCGAGCCCGTGTTTTAAACATGACTTTAACTCTAAATACCAGACTGCCGGTCATTTAGTACATTTTGAAACGTGACTGGCTGCCGGTCTAATAGTCACAGGGTATAATAAAAGGGTATTTAACAAACATTCCAACCGTCCCGGTTTACCCGGGACTGTCCCGGTTTGGACTATGTTGTCCCGGTGTCCCGGTTTTCTTCTTATTGTCCCGGTTTCTGTAGTGTTTTAATAGTTGTATTCTTCAAATAAGGCTCATGTGACAAATATTAATGAAATTTGTTTGGTTCAATACATATTAATGAAATAGGAGCTTCTAGTTGCACCAAACAATTGCCGAGTTTCTCGCCGATCGTTGTAATTCGCGTGACATACGTTGTTTTGACAATTTAGCGTTCGCTTTCAATTCCTGAATTCCTATTCATTTTGCCAGGGTTACATGAAGTAAAGCATCATAGCAAAAGCGGGCGCAGTAATCGGGGGCTCAAGAGCCCGAGAGGATCACACAGTTCAAAAGACCAGTAGCACAAAGACCAGTAGCACACGCGGCAAATTATATTAATTCACTATTTTATTGAATTTTGACAATGCAGAGGAAAAAACTATACATATTATAGAAGTATTTATGTTTTTTTATGCAAGAGTTATATTTTGAGGCATTTATATCATTTGCTGCTTTGTTTTTTATACCGAAGCATCTGAAAATCCCAGCCAGTGCTTTTCGGGGTAGATAGGGAAAAAACAAACTTTTGCAAAATAACTGAATGTTATGTTAACACTTTTAATAAAAGAAAATCAACAGTGATCGCTTACCGGTATTCTACAATAATTTATTGAAAAAAATTTCAATGGGTATCTCATTTCTAAAAAAAAGCGATTTTCACCTTTCGAACGGCGTTTTCCCTATCTTTTGCTATGAAATTTAAGCGACGGCACTGGCTGGAAGATTTTGCGTGGCACGTAGAACGCGTGACACAAAAATTCAGGTTATCGTGAGTGTCAGTTTCCTCTCTGTATATCTGTGCCAGTAGTAAAACGAAACAATTTCGCCAGTACAGTACTTCAATGAAATTAAAGCTTGTTGAGAAGATGTTATATTACTTATGGGTTTCAACGTTAGTGTAATAAAACTAGTTTTTGTAGCATCCACTGTGAATTTATTGTTTAATTTAAATGCAACTCAGCCAATTTTAACACTAACCCAAATAGACACCACATCAATGAGAAAAGTGCGGCATTTATTCGAGGGAGGCGTTTATTCGAGGGAGGCGTTTATTTAAGTAAAATGGGAAAATTGGGAAGTGTCCCGGTGTCACGGTCTCAGCACTCCCCCAGTCTGAGTTATCCGTTTTGATTATTTGCGCATGCGTGAAAAGAGCGGACCGCTGAGCACGTAGCTAGCTGGCCTGAACGCTCCCCCAGTCTGAGTTATCCGCAAATATATTTTTGCTCTTTATCTTTGTTTATTTAAAAAAAAGACTTTAAAAGCACTTTCATGAAGGCACATTATTGTTAGATATGGTAAGGCTGTTAAATATCGTATTATTTCTTTATAAATATGATCACATATAATTGTTTAATTAAAAGAGATAACTCAGACTGAGGAGTATCGAGACTGGTCTAAATGCTCCCCAGTCTGGGGTATCTCCTCATATAATTGTTTAATTAAAAGAGATAACTCAGACTGAGGAGTATCGAGACTGGTCTGAATGCTCCCCAGTCTGGGGTATCTCCTGATATAATTGTTTAATTAAAAGAGATTACTCAGAATGAGGAGTATCGAGACTAGTCTAAATGCTCCCCAGTCTGGGGTATCTCCTGATATAATTGTTTAAAAGAGATAACTCAGACTGAGGAGTATCGAGACTAGTCTAAATGCTCCCCAGTCTGGGGTATCTCCTGATATAATTGTTTAAAAGAGATAACTCAGACTGAGGAGTATCGAGACTGGTCTAAATGCTCCACAGTCTGGGGTATCTCCTCATATAAATTTTTAAAAGAGATAACTCAGACTGAGGAGTATTGAGATTGGTCTAAATGCTCCCCAGTCTGGGGTATCTCCTCATATAATTGTTTAATTAAAAGAGATAACTCAGACTGAGGAGTATCGAGACTAGTCTAAATGCTCCCCAGTCTGGGGTATCTCCTGATATAATTGTTTAATTAAAAGAGATAACTCAGACTGAGGAGTATCGAGACTAGTCTAAATGCTCCCCAGTCTGGGGTATCTCCTGATATAATTGTTTAATTAAAAGAGATTACTCAGAATGAGGAGTATTGAGACTGGTCTGAATGCTCCCCAGTCTGGGGTATCTCCTCATATAATTGTTTAATTAAAAGAGATAACTCAGACTGAGGAGTATCGAGACTAGTCTAAATGCTCCCCAGTCTGGGGTATCTCCTGATATAAATTTTTAAAAGAGATAGCTCAGACTGAGGAGTATTGAGATTGGTCTAAATGCTCCCCAGTCTGGGGTATCTCCTCATATAATTGTTTAATTTAAAAGAGATAACTCAGACTGAGGAGTATTGAGACTGGTCTAAATGCTCCCCAGTCTGGGGTATCTCCTCACATAATTGTTTAATTAAAAGAGATTACTCAGACTGAGGAGTATCGAGACTGGTCTGAGTGCTCCCCAGTCTGGGGTATCTCCTGTTACAAAATCCCAAATCTGAACCTCACTATTACTTGATAATATATTTATAATTATACGAACTAATAATATCATATTTACAATTATACTAAGACATATTTACAGTTCACACAACAAAGTTTTATCTGTTAACAGTTCTTGGAAACCCTATCAAAAGAACCCTGTCGCTCACAGTGTGCACCACTAACCTGCACAAACTATTTACATAAACTATTTACAATTGGCACAACAAAATATAGTTTTGGCATTAACTTTCCTTGGCACATTTTCACAAGATCTGTGAAACCATTCAGCACAAGTTGCACATTCAATCATGAATGAACCACTATATGGCATTCTACAGTGACAAAACAGTTCGACAACTTCCTTCCTTTCATGTTGCATGGGTAAAACTGATGTCATGACAGGGAACTGGGCCAACTCTCCAACCTGGAAGCACATGGCAAGATGCACTCGCATCGTCTTCTGGTCATAGGCTTGTGTACTAGGATCCTCTCCGATGAGAAGACTGAAAGCAACCGCAACAGCAAAGAGGCCACAATCAGAACAGCCTTTCTGACTCTGCATTGATGGCCACACAATTGTCATGTTCGGATAACTGGTGTTTAGCAATGCTGCCAAACACAGGTAAAATTTCTTTCTGTATTTTTCTGGTAACTCCATATACTTAGAGTCATAAACTTTGACAACGTTATCTTCACATCCGATATTTGTGACAGTTACCCAATGTTTTCTTCCAACATTAATTATTTGAACAAACTCCTTTTGTCCTCTCTGAATTTGGGGGGTTTTCCCTTCAAAAGCCAGCACAGAATGCAAGCCGTTACACCCTGCAAATTGCTGCTGCAGTAACCATTGAGCATGATCAATATGCTCATCTGAAAGCCAAAAGTCTTTTTTGAGGATTGTAGATGATAGCTTGTCAGGATTAGGGTTAGCTTCACTTGTTAGCACTTCACACCGATTCTTTCTAGACTTTCCATTATACTGGTTGTTATCATCTGTTTGGCCACCTTTAAGGTTAAGTTTAGTTTTAAGATTAATATGTTTATCCCCCCCCCCCAAAAAAAAATAGTTGCTCCCTTGGGAAGAGAGAGTCTCTATTCTTTATACTTACATGAGTTTGTTAAGGACTCAAGTACTCCAGTGCTGTTGTGTTCATTTTTGTTGATATTATCTTCATTCTGTTTGTTATCATTTTCATTCACATTGTTGGCATCTTTTTCCTTGTCATCTTCTTCCTTGTCATCTTCTTCCTTGTCATCTTCTTCCTTGTCATCTAAAGTACAGTTGTCAACTCATTAATATTTATTTACAGTATACCTATTATTGAAATTACTTTACCCTTATTAAAAATTTAACATCTAAGACTTTCCCTTGACAAGCAAAATTTTCAAGCATTAGACAGAGTGTAGATACTATAGTAGAGTTTGTGGTACCCTGGATTCCAGAGGGGAGGTCGTCATCATTGTCGGTGTCATTATTTTCTTGTTTGCCACCATCCTCTGTACTGCCTGATCCTCTGCAGCAGTTATCTTCCTTGTGAAGTTCACTCACAACATAAGGTCGTAACTGATCATAGGGCACTTTGTTTTTCAGAGAAGTGGCATTATCTTTCAATGGAATAAGGGTTGCTCTCTGAGAGGAATCAATTTCTGTGACTCTGTAAATATTAATTATTCAATGTTATTCTTCAATTGAGCATCAACATGATCCCATTAGTCCTACCAGTATCAAGCTACAGGAAGAACCTAAATGCTTAGCTGCAAGAAGCAATTAACCAAGCCATTTATAATCAGCACAACCATCGGTCTGAAAGATTTGCATGTCCTAGATCTGATCATTAACCCATTAAGCGCCAGCGCTCTCCCCTTGACGAGTAAAATCGTCTGGCGTTAGACAGAGTAAAACACTAAAGTAGGGTGCATCGCCACTCAATGGGTTAACTAGACACATGGGCAGATAGGCCAGTTAACCCATTAAGCGCCAGCACTCTCCCCTTGACGAGTAAAATTGTCTGGGGTTAGACAGAGTAAAATACTAAAGTAGGGTGCATCGCCACTCAATGGGTTAATGATTATTAACACTGAAGTCCCATTGAATCTGCTGAAAGATGTTTGTTATACATACCTGTATGGACCTATCCATCCTGGCTCCATTTTCCCTCCTTTTCTGGAAATGTTTTTCATTTGGCGTTTGTACACGATATCACCCACTTTGATAACAAATGTCTTTACTCCTTTAGCTTTTCTTTTTTGGTACTGTTTCTTCTGTTTATCTTGAGCAATCTTGACATTCTTCTGAACCTAAAGGTATTTGAATAAAATTAACAACTACAGTAGAACCCCACTAACTCAAACTCCCAAGGGAAATGAAAGATGTGTTGGCGTGGGTTTGAGTTAACGGGGTCAGTGTTGGATTTCATTTAATTACATATGTTACTAATTAATGGACAGGAGAGTGGAAGTAGTTTTATAAGCAATAACTAACTTTAACATCTAGCAAAAACATTAATTCCTAACACAACATACCTGCTCTTGTGTCACTTCATATAAAGCCTTTCTTTCTGAAACTTGCTCATCTAAACTTTCTTCAGGTTGGTCAGGGGCAGAGGAACAGTCATCTACAACATCCATCTTTAATAACATAAACAATTGATTTAATTAGTTAATTAATCCAGTTAATTAATTTACACTGTAACTAAAATATTCCATATAATTACCATTTGAGGTGAATTTGGATGTCGACCAAACATCAGATAGAATGGTGTGTATTTGGTTGTGGCTTGTTTTTGCGTACGTATGGAATACGCAACCTCTTCTAAGAAGTCACACCAATTGTTTTGATGTTCATTCACCAGTTTGGACAAACGCTGTTTCAATGTCTGATTTGTTCGTTCGTCTAGGCCATTTGTCTGCGGGTGATAAGCACTAGTCACAGATCGTTTGATGTCAAATTCCTTGCAAACCGCATCATTGATCTTGTTCACAAATTCTCTCCCTTGATCTGATAGTAGGCGTGAAGGGGCACCCCATCTAAAATCATTATAAAAATTATGTGATGGGCAATTTATTTCTGGTTTTTAACCATTTAAACTCACATTGCATTTAAACACACTATGTGGGACCCTACTTAAACATTTTGTATCTCCTGGCAATGGGTATGTTGTCTAAAAGCCTAGGATTTTTATAAGTTTTCAAAATTTATTGCTTTCAATATTGCTAGAGGAAACAGTTTTGAAATTGAATACTTGTCATGCCATAGAAATAATTAATTTGGATGTAAACATATACCAGCTCCTCGTGTCAGGTTTTGTTTTATCCTAACTAAGCTTTCAATTTTTTATAAACATGGTTATACAAATCTGAATTATGTATGATAATTAAATGTGGCACAATAGCTTCCTAATTTGATATTAATCAGCTGGTATATGTTTACCAATTTATAATATTGTTGTAAATTTATAATGATATTAGATGTAAACAAAATTCAAGAGGGATAGTGCCTTGCATGGATCTTTAATCATGTTTACACTCTTGCTGTTTGAACATCATTCAATAAAGCTGTTAAAACTAATTACCTGCATGTAAACGTTTTGATACATTTTGCAACACACTCTGCCGATTTATTTTTAATTGGATAAAAATCGACAAATTTGGTGTAGTAATCAGTAAATGTGCAAACATACTTCCATCCTTCTGGAGTAGTTGGCAATGGCCCTAGAAAAAAATAAGGATACCAGTAAAGATATCAGTCATTGCCGAAAATTTATGCAGCACTTGAGAGTAAATTTTGTCTAAGAGCAGCATAGTTAACCCATTGAGTGACGATGCACCCTGATGCACCCTACTTTAGTATTTTATTCTGTCTAATGCCAGATGATTTTACTCGTCAAGGGGAGTTGATATTTTACAAAGAGTGGCATTCACTCCACTGTGCCCTCCCATTGGATTACTGTGGTGATGATGCAGTATTTCTCGTACTTCTGCAACATCAAGGATAACTTTTCTATAAATTCCTTCTTTTCCTCCTGTGTAGTACAACTCATTATCTAAGAATCATTGAAATTAAAATAATTCACATCATAAATATATTAATTTGAGGGGAGGAATTTGATACAGTCGGTCATACTAATTAACGACAACTATTGTCAACAACCAGCAATTACTGACAACTAGCAGACAATTACTGACAACAAGCTGAAAAGTACTGACAACTAGCAAATACATGCTCTCATTGTATTCTTATAGTTATCTGGTTGTTTTTGATGGAATCCAAAATATACATGTATAAATTCGACAGATACGACAGATTTTGTCAAACATTGTTGAGTTTAAACATTCTGCGATTAAAGATGATGGATTCACATAGGCAGACAGTAATTATATTTTCATTGTTTGACATCAATAAAATCATAAACAATAGGATTAACAAAATATCCTGCCTATTCTATTCATAATAGAATTTAATTATGCAAACTATCTAAAAACTGCATAGTATGCTGATGAGTCATCGATATCATATAAAAGTAAAAAATATGTATTTGCTTGTTGTCGGTATTTTTCAGCTTGTTGTTGGTAATTGTCTGTAATTAGTATGACCCAATACAGTTAATATTTCCAGATAAATATAAACTATGCATAATTTTTGACAACACATGATTACATAAATGAACACATCAAGAGCCTTGTAATTCCAGATATAAATAACAAATATTTAGTATATAGAGTTCACTAAGAGGAAGTTGTGGCTCGTGTAATCTTACATCCCTGTCAAGGACAGCTGGATCTCTTCAGTACAGTATTATTGACATCGTTAATAGTCAGGGTTTTAAACGTTTGAGAATACAATTCATCAGCCTCAAGGGAATCACAAACTATAACTGTGCCCTATGGCTATGCATAACGTCTCTACATTAAATAAGCATAGTATGAACTATGAAGTTCAATTGTTTGCAATAACGAGAAAAATAAACTCACTTTCATCTAGGGTATAGGTCTTCGCTTGGCCTCGAACAACACGTTGTTGATTCTTTGTTAAACCATCCATGTGTTTTCCATGGCGCAGATAATACAATATGCGTTCGCATTTCTCACGTTGCTGATGAAAGCGTCTTTCTCGCGTTTTCACATCAGTCTCGGTTTCTAAGTTTACCTCAGTAATGACCTCTTGTTCCGTGGCCATTTTAGCGTAGTAAATATTTGGATAAAGTGAATTTGAAGCGAGTATTCTCTGTTGATTTCCAAGTGCCAACGATCGAAGTGAGAGAGGATGACTCAGACCGCAGAGAAATTATATGAGCCGATACCGCTGACGCACGCATGCGCATAGTAATAGAGGAATACTCAGACCGGGGGAGTATCGAGACTGCTACACCTGTTCTGAGAACTCGGAGGTTGGAATGTCTGATTTTATAATAAATTTCGTTGGCCCATGTATTGTGATACACGACATGAGCCATATTAAGGACATGCAGTTCTATTGTTCTCGACTGACTCTGTTTACACGACATAAGAACGTTTAAACTTTATACAAATACCTTAATATAAGTTTATAACAGGAAAAGGTTTGATTCACAAATCAAATATATGTAAATAAACGCGCTAATGATGCGAGTTCTGGTGAATAAACATAAAGTATTATTAGCTTACAGTACCTTCCTTCGCTTCATGCGACTCGTGCGCTCTGATTTCACACTGCCAGAAAGTTGATTTTTATGTACTGTAGTCTCGGAGTGTTTTACTTTGCCACACTTTCAGAACCGTATGCAAAACACTCCTCAGTGAAATGCTTTGAGCACACTAATTGGATCCATTTGTCTCGTCTGCGACTCTGTGTCGAACAAAGGCTCAGCCATCTTTTCCTTCTCCTGACCGCTACGGGCGAATTATCATTCCAAAAAGGTATTTGGTAGATAAAAATACCCTTCTTTGTGTCTGCAACGTTGGAACAATCGTAAACGACACACCGTTTAGGCATTTTAAGCCAAAAACTCTCGAAGTTGCGTCTACTTGTATTATAGAAAAGCAACTGAACGCGAAGAACGTGTTCCTCCCACCCAGGCTTTTGCAGTGAATTTAACTTGCGCGACTTTTTTTCCAAAAATGGCAAAATTTGAGTGTTTGAGCCGCTGTATCTCAGAAACTAGAAGTTTAAATCAAAATCTAATCTAGAACTTCTATTGTAACTTTTTACGCTCTATCCGAATCATCAAAAAACCATTTTGGGTTTATAGGCACTTTAATCATATACTAGTATTGATAGGGGTAAAGTGTCAATTGGGACGCAAGTCCTGTTCTTTTCTCCAGTCACGTCTATGTTTAGTGTGTTATCTTGTTAGAATGTTGTGTTAGTGTTGCTTGTTTGCTAGTATACATTTTTTGTATATATCTATATAAAGGTGACGAAATTATTAAATTAATAATATTGAGCGATTGGCAACATTAATACAATTTCGCTTGGCTTTCAAAGACAAAGGCCATAAATCGCTAGAACACTGTTGTTTAGTAATACCGGTATATTTGACATCCGTATTAATTAGTACAATTTCTAACGCTGAATCGAACGGTGGTATTTTTATCCCGATTACAAATACAAGGACAAACCTGTGGACAAACGTAGTGCGAGTGATTTGTGATTAACAATCCGTACTGCCAGCGATTTTTCAACAATACAATTTCGCTTCATTTTCAAAGGCCATAAATCGCTAGAATACGGGTGTTTAGTAATACACTTGACATCCGTAAGTACAACTGTCTTACGCTGAATCGAACGGTGTCGCTTTCAAACGTATATAAAACTTTTATGAACTTGCGATTTGCGAAGGTCGCTGTTTCCATGCGAAATTCCTTGTAAAATTGTTCAATTTTCCCGAATTTTCCTCAAAATTGCGGGCTATTTATGGATAATTTGGGTAAAGGCAGGAGACTTATGCCAGGCAGGAGACTTATGGATAATTGGGGGAAAATTAGGCAGCTCATTAATATTCTATTTTGTGGCTATCGACAAATGGAGAAAAATGCATGCCGAAACCTATACTCGTCTGGGGAAAAGAGTGCCCCAGCGAGTAACTATACTGGATATCAGTTCTAAACGGCTGTTTTACTTGGACATCGAGTGCATTTGTTTGAGTGAAGAACTCTCAAAGAACTCTCATATACGTCAGAGGTACAGAAAGGTAGGCCTATGTCACTGAAAGAAAGGCACAAATCATACACTCCACTCGGTCTATTTCAAGTAGATTTTAGCACTTCAATTTCGTGAACATTCCATTTCGTGATTATAGTCAATTTTGCCGTTAAAAGCCTTGTTTGCATGAGTCAGAGTGCACGACGGAAATATAATTGTTTGGTATTTGTGAAAACATGCATCACGTTTATTTTGTATTACTATAGCTTTCGATCCGTAAGCCTACATGGATCTTCACCAGTGTGTTAAATTATTTTATTATATAAAGTATAGTGCTTTATAGAGATTTCGAGCACTGATAAAAGTGATAATCTCACATGTGAGATTATATTCATGATAATCTCACATGTGAAAATTATCGCTTTTCAATTATCGCTTTTCTGTAAAAATTATCGCTTTTCAAAGACTGTAAAATAAACAGAAAAATACATGGGTGCTTGGAAATATACCAGATTTATTTCTCGTGTTGAACCGGATATCTCACTCGTTCGCTGCGCTCACTCGTGAGATATCATGTTCAACACTTGAAATAAATCTGGTATTTCCGCTCACCCATGTATTATTCTCTATATATTTCAGAACAGTGGTATATCTTTAAAAAATCAAATCCAATGCAATTATTGAAAAAAAACACAAAATGCGTGATAGGCGACTACCTTTTTATCTCGAAATTGAGGTACTTTAGCTTGAACGTAAGTGCCTGAATGTCTACATGAAGTCTTGTCTTCTGCGATATTGGCCAATGGGTATTGCAAACAAAATGGGAAAGTTTTATACTATATTGCATGGTAACGAAATTTAATTCTGCTTTATAGGCAGAAGGATCGATCTGTAAGATAATTTACTCTATATGTAATGTAGCTACAGCTTATCGTTTTTGTTCTCGAGATATTTTAGTTTCTTTTTATATGTAAATGAAATAAATTTAATGACATTACAAGCGAGTAAAATGTTAGACTCGTCAAAGGTTCAAAAATGATAAAGTCACTCGCACTGTATTTTTCATTCCTTTGACCAACTGTCACCAACTTCCACACAGAAATTTATGCATGCAGACAGCATGTAGGTTTGTACGTACAGCAACTGATTTGCTAGTATAACATGCATGTACCAACGAATTTATGGACGGATTTCCTTTCTAGACCTTTGGGGGAAGAGTTTAGAACTGATAGTATATAAGCAACCTAAGGTTTCCTAGTTCCTGCATGTACTTTCATAATAAAAGGACTAAGTTTACTTATTTAAAATGTAAGTACTTTGTTTTTAATTTTCTTTGTTCAGAAAAAGGGTGGGAATTAATAAAAATTTCAATTCCTATAGAGACAGGATGTCTGTTCTCCCCCACAAGCTTGCAACTAGTTAGTCTTAGATGCACTATATTGAAATTCTTTAGAGAGATATTGTGTTCTATTTGGGTCTGTAATTAAGACAGGCCAAAATACACGAGTCACACATGAATATTATTAATACATTGCATGAAGGTTTATTGTACGATCACCCAGATTAAAATTTTTCAGTAATTATTCCTGACGTTTCGGTTACCTGTACCAGATATGTAACAGATAGGACTTCGTGTCCTCAAATTTCCCTAGATATACACGTCATGCTCACGCCATGAAACTTGTTAGCAAAATGGCGTCCTGAAA